CTGACTATTATCCGGTATATTGAGCTTGCTTAAATGATTTAATTGGGTTCACTAAATCCTTCCAAATCTCTCTTACAAATTGATATTAAAGACTTAATTAAAATTTTAGTCAATTCCAGTTAATGAAGCTTTAGTTCAAATTAGTATTGTTCAGAAAAATATTTGACAATTTATTATCAAAATTATATAATCCTAATTATTATATGATATATTGAACAATTGTATATAATTTAATTGAATATAATCAAATCTTTGTGATGAAATCTTCATAAATTGTTGTAGATGGTTCTTATTGTGATCCCAATTTGATAGGAATCTAAATAATATCAAGTAGACAAGACTAATACCAAGTTAGAATAGTTTTGAAAACAATATAACTATAACTAAACTATATGTTAATTACAAGAGTTAACCAATTAATATAACTATACCTAAACTATATGTTAACTACAAGTTAACCAAGTAATATCTATCTATAACTAAAACAATATATCAAGAGTAAACAGAACTAATACAAGTTAGAATATTCAAGAAAACAATATAACAATTCCCTTACTCTAAAATTTAAATCAACTATAAATTGTTAGAGATTAAGAAGATACAATCCTAATTATTATATGATATATTGAACAATTGTATATAATTTAATTGAATATAATGAAATCCTTAAGGTACTATCTTCACAAATGGTTTTATATGATCCCAATTTGATAAAAATCTAAATAATACCAAGAAATGTTTTAAAACAAAACTAATAGCAAGTTTGAATAATAAGGGAAACAATATAACGAATCCCTTTCTCCAAAATTGAGATCAACTGTAAATTGTTAGAGATGACGAAGACGTTGACAATGATGGAATGTTGAGATCGATCCTCTTCATCGTCAAATCGATAACAGGCCTACCTACCTACCTACCTACCTTCCTCTCTCTCTCTCTCTCTCTCCTCCTCAGCCTCAATTCCACCCTCTCCTTCAGTACTTCCTGCAGTTCCGATCAGTGTGCTAGTAGAAACCCGAAGCGTGCTTCATCTTCCGCGATTGGAAGTACTCTGATGCTGCTTCCCATCTGGAGTGTCCTTCAGAGGTTCGTGCGGCTAGACAGATAGATTGGAAGAGTGCTGAGGATCGAAGAGGGAAAGCGTATAGATAGGATCGTCAAGATATTCCGATACGCCATATCGAATCGACCGTGAAACCGTTTATTCTGACACGCCATTCGATTCGTCTTTTCTATCTTTTATTACTCCCCTTTTTTTTCCTTCTACTTCTATGCTTTTTTCTTTTTTGTTTTTTAAGGTTCTTATTTTACACTCGTTCGTATGTTCAAACAAGAAAGATTGATCAGGGTAACTTCAAAAAACTGGATACTAATATTGTTTGGTTGTTATAAAGGTTACTATAGTAAATGTATTTGATGTAATATTTAAATAGTTAAGTATTTTATTCATTTTTCTTTTTAGGTTTTTTATTTTACATTTGTTCCTATATTCAAACCAGAATGATTAATCAGGGTAACCTTAAAAACTGGATACTAATATTGTTTGGTATAGTTTTTACTATAGTAAATGTATTTGATGTAATATTTAAATAGTTAAGAAAGTGTTTATAGTATGTAGATAATTTGAATAATTAATTTGTAATAATTGTTATTATATAGAATATAATTTTGTATAGTAATTATTATATTGTAAATAATTTTGAATAATAATTGTTATATTAAATTAATATACTCAAATATAATTACTGATATATCGATTCATCTCTTTTACACCATTTTTTACTATTTTTACTTTCCTAATTTATTTTAATGTTAAAATATATTATAATACTACAGTAATTATACTATACAGATAAAGAGTATAATGTAATAATAATTATTATATTATAATAAAAATAGGTAGATTACTTACTATCATACACTTACTGTATAACAAGTAAAAATTATAAATATAAAAATTGTATTATATATTATAAATTATACTATTTTATATTAATATAATTATAATATACTAAAATTGTTTAATAATATTATTATAATTATATTATAAAACAAAAGTATTATTTACATTAATATAAATAATACCATAAATTTGAAACAATATTTAAATATCTATGTAAACAACAATAGGATTGAACAATGAATAAATAGATAGACCATAATCATTAATTTTATAGAGTATTATATATTTTTGTCTCACATTTGTTTATTTTTTGTGTTTCTTACTCACAATTTTTACGTAAATTAATTTATAATTAAATGTGAAACACAGCGACAGTTTATGACAACTAATATCATTTTTTTGTTTGTTTGTTTGTTTGTTTGTTTTTAATCTTTCTTATATGTACTATACTTCTATACATATACATATATATTTATATTTTTTGTATTTTTGGTTGTTATTTAATATAAGTAATTTAAAATATTACTTATTATCATTTTAAAACAAATAATTCTCTACAAATTCATTTTACATTCTCTTTTTCCCCCATTTCATTTATAAACCGACACAAGGAATACCTTTTCGTGTTTTGTGTTACTAATACTAAAACTTTACTATTATTATTATTATTATTATTATAATTATATAAATAAGCATTGCATTGATACTATGCATATTGTTTACGAAATGAAAAAAAAAAATTATAATATAAACAATGTGCTTTATAGTTTGTTAAATATATATTGTTTAATACAATGTTGTGTGAAGTGCAACATTTGTTATCAATGAGATGATGAATGATGGGCCTGAAAGGGTTAACAAAGGAAAGAAAAAAAAAAATATATATATATATTTAAACATAAAATAATAACATGAATAAAACGTTTCATCGAAAGCTTTGCGGCTAATTAATTATTTGTTGTTTTTAAATTATTTCTCATTTTTATGTGTTTTTTTTTTTATTTAATTTCATTTTCTTTTCTTTTCTTTTCTTTTCTTTTATTTTATTTTATTTTATTTAGTTTCGTTTTATTATTCCTTTTTCATATAATAATAATAAGCGTGTGCATTTTATTTGATAATGGAAAACATTCATGATAAAATTATTCAGTGATGTAAACAACAACGTGCAAATTCATAATAATATTATCGGCAACGTATTACATAATACATTGTTCTTTTAATACGGATATATATATATATTATGTATTATTAATTACTATTATTAATAATTATTAATTATTATTACATTTTTTTTTCGCGAAGAGCTTCATTCTCTTTAAAAACTTGTCAATATATTTTCATCAAATATTAATTCCAATTGTTGTTATTTTTATTCTTCGATAATCTCTCACAATTGTTCTTGTATGCATGCGTGTATTTTATTTGTTTCTTATTTAAAACGATTAGCATTTTTGATTAAAAAAAAATAAACTTGCAATAGAATTTGTCTTTCATATTCATTTCCTTTAAAAATATTTTTTGTAAATTATCCACTTGTTGACAATTGCTTTAAATCGATTCAAACGATCATTCGACTGCAATGCAAATAAATTTTTTACATGAAAGAAATAAGAGTGGGGATGGTTGAAATGGAGTGGGGGGGGAGTTGAAATGAAGTGGAGGGGATGATGGAAATAAAAATGGAAGGAGATTAGGTTGTGGGAGGAATATGAGAATTTACAAAAGCCATCAATATAAAATCGAAGATCATAAAATTACATACTTTGAGGTTAGTTTTGATACACGCTATGGAAAAACAAGAGAGAAAATAAAAAGTATATAAGAGAAATAGAAAGTGGGGGAGGGTAAGGGGTGAGAGAGAAATGAGATAAATAGAAAGTGACATACATTCACCATGGACGTAGTTTAGTTTCTCTCATTCGTACCGGGGACACCCATTTGTTTCCACTCAATGTTTGTTACTCACGAAAGGTGGATCGAGAGAGAGAGAGAGAGAAAGAGATAGAAAATCCCATAAATAATTCATCCTTCATGGGTGTATCTACAAACGCATTTCGCAGGGTTTATGCCAAGCGACAATATTGCGGAAACACTATCAGATGATATTAATTGTATGTATGTGTATTTTGTTTGTTAGTACATATACATTATGTATACATATTTACACATACACACACATATATATATTATATGTAGTCAATAAAATGTTTCTATTTCAAATAACTTGTCACTCATTGTTTGTATCTAATAAATATATATTAATTAATTATGTTACACATATTAAGATGTATATAATTGTGTTTTATTTCTTTGTTTATTTCTGTGTTTTATTTCTTCTTATATATATATATATATCTAATTCTTTTTATTTCCAATTGTTGAGTAATCTTAATTTGTTAAATAAAACTTCAATAAATAACCTATTGGGACCTCTGGTAGGGGCGTGGCATAGCAATTCGACCTATCTACTCTAATTTTGAATTTAGCCACCAGATAGTATAGTCAAATGCTAGAGACCCCTCACGTGGCGTAGCAATTCGACTTATTTACTCTAATTTTGAATTTAGCCACAAGATAGCGTATTCAAGTGCTAGAGACCCCTCACGTGGCGTAGCAATTCGACCTATCTACTCTAATTTTGAATTTAGCCACCAGATAGCGTATTCAAGTGCTAGAGACCCTTCACGTGACGTAGTAATTCGACCTATTTACTCTAATTTGGAATTTAGCCACCAGATAGCGTATTCAAGTGCTAGAGATCCCAATAAAGTTATACATATGAGGTTATTTTACATAACCTCATTTAATTTGCTTTTAAAAAGGATATGTATGTGTGACCTTGAGTTATTTAATATAATTGTTATTAATTCAGATAGTATATGTTGAAATTTTTGGAATACATTAGATCCATGCAAATCATTGCAATAGATTTATAAAAAAAACGTAATAATTTGAAGAAAAAAATATTAATTGGAATATAATCATCAAATTAATTGTACCAATAATATAAACAGTGAATTATAAAATGTTTGGTGACAGGGGTGAAGTCGAAAAAAAAAACAAAAAAGAAAACAAATGAGAAACTAACGAACAATTCATTTTACTATTTATTTTTATTAGATATGATACATAAAAAAAAAGAAAGATATTAAAATCAATTTACAAATCCCTCATATCATAATCCTGCTTGACTTGACAATGAATCCACTGTTACAATTATCAGCACGTCACAACAACAACAACAAAAATAAATAAAAAATAAAACAATATCGTCAAATTGTCGCATGATGTAACAAAAGAAAATCTTTGTATTAATTTGACAACCCTAATGTGATTAAGATCATCTAACTCGTCATATATTCACCCCATTTTATTATTATTATTATTATTGTTGTTAATAATAAAAAAACAAATCATATCTAAACAGATTTGCACTGGAAAAAAAAAATGTGTGTTCAGATAAAGGCACGAAAGAAAATACCACAACCCTGTAATTATATTTATGAGGTTTGGGTATTTGAGAGAGTTACAGGGTTTAATTTTTTTATTGTGTTGTCTGATTTTTCAATAATTCGATCCACCTTCTTATTTTTCTTTTCCCTTTTTTCTTCCTTTTCTTCATCTTCATGTTCATCTTCATCGTTTCATTGAATTCTCTTGCTTGTGTGAACCCTTTTATTCATCCCCCATTCTAATTCTCAAGTACCTTAATTGAAATCAATTAAAGAGATTGAAGCTTACGCGAAACCATAGCTAAAATTTCGGCATAGATTGGGACGATGGATTACTCGTAAGATTGTGAATCTCGTCGAATGATTTGATAGCACTTTGTAGGTCGTCCATTCCACGTCTGGTTTTAGTTGTTAAATCGTCGAATTGACGAACAGTTTGGCTTAAAAGATCATCGAATTCTTCTAAATGTAACTTCTCGATGACCCATTCCATTGCTTGACGACCCTGCATTTCCATTCATACAACAAAACAAAACAATAAGAATAAATTTATTAGAATTTTGAATTAAAATTAAGTTGTTTGTCTTTTAAATTATGATTTTCATTATTAAAACATTTTTTTTCTTTTTTTTTTTTTTAAGAACATTTAATTATAATCGAAAGATTATATATATTTGTTTCTGATGTTACAAATTTTGATAAGATTTGATTACAATTTTGTTGTTTATGGGTTGTTTTGTAATAGGATAATTTTGTATAGTTTGTAATTTTGTATCATTTAAATTTTTGTATAAGTTTGTATCAAAATTATGAACTGTTTATATAAATTATAGTGTTAGCAATATTTTTATATAATAATAGTAATTAATATTTAATACTATTATAGTTTTGTTAAATGTAAATATATTAGGACAAATATTTTTAATTATTATAATTTATAATAATATTATTTATATTGGTAGCAACAATTTTTGGAAAAAATTATTTTTTATCTTAATATATATATATATAAATTACGTAATTTATATATAATATAAATAATAAATAGGATAATTATAATAATTAATTTTATATAATTTAAACTTTTTTCTACGTTTGTATTTTAATATTATTATATAGTATAATAATTAATATTTAAACAAGTTAAAGTAATATATATTATTATAATATATTAAATATAACTACATTATGCCAATTTTAATTATTATAATTTATAATAATATTGTTTATATTGCTAGCAGTATTTTTTTTTAACCATTTATTATTAGAATATATATATATAAAATAATAAATAATACCACTATAAACTATAATTCATATTAATATGTATATATTAATAATTATATATAGAAACTATGAAAAATATTTATAACCAATCAACAATTAATTATCATAACAATAAAATAAAATCAAACAAATAGAAATATATACCAATACAAATTTATGATTTTCAATTTCATGGTGTTATAAAGAATACATTTTTGTTCTTATCAACATTCACTATATTTACTTTTTATTACACATTTCAACAAATTTATAAATACACCATGCGAAAAAAGAATTCTCTCTCTCCTGTTTATCTTTCTACTAACCCCCTATCATCGAAAACCTTTATTTCCTTTTTATATGCCCATTTAAAAAGATACTTCGTTGGGTAATAGGATACTTTAGTAACACCATAAAAAAAAAAAAAAAAGAAAATCCAGGTCAAAATCAAAAGATCGAACTAACAGATTTGTTTTCAATGTAATTCAATTTCATTCAACCAATGAAAATCTATTCCTTTTTATATTTTATATCATAAAAATAAAAATATTATTTTTGATTCTTTTCTTATTTAATTAATTATTATCATTTGTTTTTTTTTTTTGTATAAAATTTAATATGAACAAAAAAATTTAGAACAAAAGAACAAACAAACCATGTATTAATATTTCTTATTTTTTAATTTGTATTTTATATATTTTATATATTTTATATTACTAATAAATAAATTAAATATAATAATTAATTAAATAATTAAATAATACTAATATATTAATTAATAATAAATTAAATAATAATAATATAATAAATAATTAAAATATAATATATAAAATAATATTTTATATATTATATATATATATATAATAATATTAATATAATAATATTATATTATAATTATAGATTGTCAAAAATTATATTATTAGCAATATTATTATATAGTATAGTAATTAATATTTAAACTATATTACAAGTAATATATATTACAATATATTGACAAATATTAATTTTTATAATTAATAATAATATTATTTATATTGTTAAACGTATTTTTTTATAATATTAATATATATATATAAATATGGAACTTACCATGCCAGAATTAAAACAAATTTTAGACGTTAATAATTCTTCCATATAATGTGTAAGTGGTACACCGCTAACAGTAACCACAGCTTCCTGTTGGAGTAAAGTTTTTTCTGGATCATTTGGATGAGGTGTATATCTGACAGTCTCATCCACTGCAATGTGATTGCAAAAGGTTAACTGAAAAAGAATAGAAAGAAATGAAATCGTTAGTGTCGGTCGATTAACTTCTCACAATTCTCGTCGTTAGACCGAATCGTTTCGGGGGTTGCTTTTTGGGGTTTCGAGGGAGGGGTTTCGTTGGTGATGTGGTCGCATTTATATCGACCAGGCAACTATACTGTGCAACTAGAAATGGGCTGCTAGGCACAACATCGACCCTTAGTTAGATGGTCACTCGAAATTATCGACAGATATAGAACACCTATATACATCAATCATCGTTTAATTATCGATCTTTACTAATTAATCATTTAAATAGTATTTGTTTTTTTTTTTTTAACAAGAATTAATTCTTATTTTCTCTTATTTTTATTTTTATTATGCAATTTAAATATTTGATTTGATTTTATTTCATTATGGCGTTCGTTGTATCGAATATTGTTTAGGTTATAATAATATTACGTTAAATTTAAGCATTTTAAATATGTTTAAATTATGATACCAATCATTATTATTAATGTTATTAATTGTTTAATAAAATATTGAAGATTAATTATGAAAATTATTATTAAATAGAAGAAATTTAATGCAATGTTTTATGCTAAGGACGAATTGTAGTGCCATCTGTTTGAATGAATAGCGCCATCTTAATTAAAATGGCCACCAATTACCGCCATATTAGAAAAAAAGTATACTCAATTTTGTTTTATATTTTATGTTCTGTTGAAAAAAAAACATGGTAATAAATAGAATAACTAAAAATTGATAAATAAATAATAAAATAATCTTTAATAAATTTGATAATAAATTAATTGAATAAATAATAATAAATATTATTATTAAATTATATTCTATTTAACATATAATATTAGTTCTAAATTATATTCTAAAATATTTCTGCTGTTTGATTAACAATAAGTGTCATTAACACATCTTGCAAAAATCAAATTAACAATAACAACAAAAAATTGCTAATATTATTTTAACAAACAATTGAAATAACAAGTATTACTTTATCGTAAAGAAAAAAAAAAAAAAAAACTTCATTTTATATTTATTCTTGAACATATTTCTATGCATATATGAATCAAATTGGACGTTGAAATAAAATGAATAAAAATTCGAATATTTTTCAGTCCCTTTCTCTTACCCCTGTGTCTGCCTACTCTTTTCTCTTTTTTTTTTGTTTTTTTTACTAGTAATCTATTCCTAACGCCTAGGTAAAGTGAAAAATTGTTAAGAAAGTATTTTCCTCGCGTACTAAAACACGTTTATGCTTCGCACGTAGAAAAGAAGCAGAAGCGATGCGTTTTCAATAAGGCAATGACATTTCGCGAGTGCATCGTCGACACGATCGGAATATTCTTACATTTGACAAGGAAAATAACTCTCGTATATTTTATATATCTGATATTCCTATGGACAACTTTTCTTTTTTTTTTTTTTTTTAATAATTTTTACAAAAGAATATATATGATATTGTTTATAACAAATACAAATTAATGATCAACAGTTTAATTAAACGTCAAATATTAATGTTCTTATTTTTATAAATCAAATAAATGTTTATAGGTTATATTAATAAATTAATATACAATTATGAACATGGCGGTAATTAGTGCGCCATTTTAATTAACATGGCGTCATTCGTCCAACTAGATGGCGCCATAATTCATACTTTCTTTTCCATATAAAAATGTTTTATAACTGCGAATGAAATAGAAAGATGTCAAACTACTTTAAAAAATAAATCAATGAAACTTTATTTTAAATGAAAGTTTGAATTATTTTCTACTACCATGTAAAAAATAATGAATGATTATTTGAAATAATACTTAAGAATTTTCGAGATATCTATGGACTTCAAATATTCCACACAATTGTATTGAATAAACTAAATAAACCATATCACTATAACCCATCATACCAATTCCAATACTTGAATAGAATAGAAAGATGGTTATCACCATGAAAGACAATCAGTGAATGGGTATTCAAACATGGAATAACTTATGCATTCATAAGGTATCAACCTATGACAATCTCCTTTTGAAATAATTTTCAATTCATTTGTTATATTAAATATAACACAAATTGATTTCTACGATGTATCTAATCACAATTCTAATTTAATTATTTAAAAATATAGAATTAAAAGTGTTATTAATAATTGTTCTAAAAAAAATTCGAGCAGATTCAATGAAGAATCAAATAAAACTGTATATCTGTATAACTCATCACATACCAATTTCAATATGCGAATAGAATAGAAAGATGGGTAGGTAACAGTATATAGAAAGAACAATCAATGAAATCTATTCTATGTTATTGAACATAGAACAATTCATCCATACTATGAACTGTATGAACTCCAACAATATTTTGAGAAAAACTTTTACATTCCACAAAAACGTATTAAATAAAACTTTACCATTAGATCTAACTAAAAAAAAAAAAAAAAAATAGGTTAACAGTATGAAAAAGAATCAATCAATGAAACGTATCACTAACAGGAAACAATTCCAAACATTTTTGAACTACCAATAATCATTTAACCTCTTAGGCACTGTAAAACTACGATGTGTGACGAACAATGGCTGCTCTTTATGGAAATACATTTTAATGAAGTTTTTTATGATGAAATTATAATTTTTCTCTAATAAATGATAAACACACACACACATATACTTTAACTTAGAAAATTATTTTAATAATTAATAATAAAATTGAGTATAATATATTTGAAAAGATATTAATACGTAAAAGCCATTATAGTGGGTGCATTGTACTGTAAAGATGACATTCGCGAAACCCAATACAGTGGGCGCATCGTATTGAAAAATGTTAATCCGCGAAAGCCACTATAGTGGGTGCGTCGTATTGGAAAATGTTAATCCGCAAAGGCCACTATAGTGAGCGCGTCAAACTAAAAAATGACATTCGTGAAATCCACTATATTGGACGCGTCGTACTGCAAGATGGAATCCAAGAAAGCCACTATAATGGCGCCTAGTAGTGCCTTAAAAAGTTACAGAAAAATGTTCAATTAAACGTATTAAAATAAATCATAAAATCATGAAATCATATGAACAAATTCCCCCCCAAAAAAATACCCCACTCAAATAAATAACCCAACATTTGTATAAATAACAGTATGAATATAAGACAATCGATGGAATCGTATCGTACATATATCCCTAGCATTGAACAATCCATGCATTCGTGAGCTACCAAGTATCAACCCCTCGACAATCCACTTGGAAGGGATGGACTTTGAATTCCTCGGTTACACGCATACAGAATGTTGTAACGCCTCGAGTGATTCGTCTCAAGGGATTAAACAATGATCCTAAACCGATACTTGTTTAACGAACACATGCTTACTATCATATCTCATCCCTATAAGGTTTCCATAGAAAATGAACCAACCAACCAGCCAACCAACCAACCAACAAGAAAAGCCAGTAACAAATGAACAAACAAACAAACAAAAGTATGGCTTGAATTATCCAATGAAAAACAAAAGAATCGCAAAAAGGATTTTCACGTATCATTAGGAGATTATACACCTTACCATCACCCTCCTAAAAACAACCTTCTTCCTAACATTCCACCACCCCCAGTCTCCCCTCTCTCTCTCCCTCTCAACAATCTTGGCAATGTAGTGCGAAGCACTGTGGTCGCAGACCCGGAACAATTGAATCGCAGGGGTGCAATGCGTTTCACGGGGAAATTAACGCCCGCGGCATATTGTGGACCCAACGACTGAACGCTGGGTTGGTTGGTTGGTTGGAGGAAGATAGGTGGAAGGGTTGAAGAGGAATGAAGGGAAGAGGAAAGTGGGGGAAGTTGGGAGTTAGGGGTTGGGGTGTTGGAGGTTTGTTGAGTACAGTAAGGGAGATGAGGAAGAGGGGAAATCATCTAGAGGGATTAAAGTGAGGGAATGGGGAACCTACCTACCTACCTAACCTCCCCCCACCCATTTCCAACCGATTCTACCTACCTCTACGCGTTCTGCCATATTGGCAATCAGTGAAGCCAACTGTGTTACACACAACGCGAGGATATCTAACCCGTCCCTGTTTCATCATTACTGCGCCGTAGTGTCCCACCACCCACCACCACGTTTCGTTCTATTCTTTTTTTTAAAGTGAAAACTTTTTTTTTTTCTCTCTCTCTTTCTCTCTCTCTATCTATCTATCTATCTCCCTCACCTTTTTTATTCATCTCGACTAAATATCTCTCTTCGTCGCCTAAAGCTCTCATCGCGGGTTTCTTTTTGATATTTTTCAATCGAAATACGTAAATGCGTGTATATATTAAAAAAAAAAAAAAAAAGGTTTTTTTTATAAAAGAAAATAAAATAAAAGAAAAAAGAATCTTCAGGAAAAATATTTAGATAGTTTTTCTTTTTTAGCGTATATACAATTTGGTTTTTTATTTTAGTTCTTTTTTTTATTGCATCATATTGGTCTATTTGTTCCTCTGTGTATGTGTACAAGCATGCTCATATGGGTGTAACATGTGGATGTAATTTTATTAATATTTGTTTTTATGCAATATTTTAGACTTCTTTTTTTTTAATATGTTGCATTGTCTTATTGTAGAATCTTTTTTTTTTTTATTTAGAGTTTTATTTATTTTTTTTTATTTATATTTTAAATGTCTTTACTGATAAAAGTATAAATTTAATGGCAAATATGAATTTAATCTAATGTATTTTATTTAATATTTAATTTTAT